AGGAACGGCCTACATAGATAGGCAGAGGGTAGCGATAGGTACAGGTAGGTATAGGTATTCCTTGATAGTATATCTTAACTGAAACTCAAAGCATGAGGGAAGGAAGCTTCCCTCAGGCGGTGAGCATGCGGTGCTCAAATAATAAGGGGTTGTCACGTGTGAGTTATGCTTGGCGGTTCGTGACAATCTAGGTCCTTACCGATAACATCCCGTCGATCTAGGAGCCTAGTATCACGGCCTGAGCGCCTAGCTACCCCGCACAAGGCTGGGTACTCCGCACGAGGCTGAGCGCGCACATATCTCTCACGCCGATGTAGTTACTCTAGTTAGACTCCTTCGTCTCAGAATTCATATCATAATTGCACCCTTAACAGCGATTCCTCCTGTCCAAGGTTGCGCCGTGATACCTAGTAGGATATTCATATAGGATAACGCGCCTATTCATAAGGCGAAAAAGGTTATAGAATGACTAAACGATAATGAAATAGATGTAATAGAATGGCCACCATATTATTACGAACCGACCTTCATGCGGCCACCTAGAGACGTAGGGAGAGGGAAGGTTAAGCGAGAAAAGAGTAGCCTCGTTAGTAAGGCTAACCTAGGTTACGTAATAACTAAAATAGGAAATATACTATTATACGTATTATAGTAGTATACTTATAATACTTATAACATCGTAACGCCTAGACCTACCTAGATAGGAAACCTACTTAGAGTATATAGTTAGCTAGATCCGCTTCTATAGGAAGCGTAGTTAACTTCGTTTATAAATAATCGAGTTCCTTCGGTTATATACTTTACGTATAGTCCCGCGTACTATACTCTTAGTTTCGTCTCTACTATATCGCTCTACTACTATATTACTAAGTAAACCACTTCGGGTTTGCTGTAATACCTCACGTGTAAAGCATCTCGTAATACATATTCTGTCACGGCCGTGAGCACAGACAGACCAGACCTGATCAGATTCAACCATATGTGTTGACACCGCGCCAAGTGAGAACGAAATGTGACTGGCCGATGTTGTCCCGGATGAGGTACGGGACAAGCGAGTGTTCCTGATTGGTCACATGGGAAGGGCGACTTGGCATACTGGGGGCTTGGCAAGGGTAGTCGCCACATAAAAGTGTGGCGCCGCACCCTTTCCTTTTTCTTCCTTTCTTCCTTCCCTCAGTTTAGTCTCTCGTTACATAGGAATACACATCCTTGGAGCTTTCTCCATCTCATATGTGCCCTGCCGTCACATATTCGCTAGATTTAAACCCTATCGAGAACCTCTAGTTCGAGCTAAAATGCCTCGTTAATGCCATCGATCCAGGCCTTCGCGATATAGTAGGAGACTCACAGGAGGTCCTTAATCGCTTTGTAAACGCCATCTTAAGGGCCTAGGTAAGTCTAGACAAGAAAAAGATCAAGAATGCTATGAAGTCAATGGACGAGAGAGTTAACGCAGTTATCGAGGCTAAGGGCTAGTATACACGGTTCTAATCTAGAAGATGCGAGATTCTGAAAGTACTTCTCTTAAGCTATCGATTAATACTAATTTTACTATTCTACCATAGTAAATATATAGAAAAAAACTACGAAGTGTATGGGGGGGTAGTACTCAGGAAGCGTGCCAAGGGCCTAGTGTCCGGTGACTTTTGCGGACCTACTGTAGCAAGGGGGGATACCAAACTGCAACTGGGTAGTCCAGGATATCGACTTGCCATTCCCTCCTCTCTTCAGTCTTCCCTCCTCTCTTCAGTCTTCCCTCCTCTCTTCAGTCTTCCCTCCTCTCTTCAGTCTTCCCTCCTCTCTTCAGTCTTCCCTCCTCTCTTCAGTCTTCCCTCCTCTCTTCAGTCTTCCCTCCTCTCTTCAGTCTTCCCTCCTCTCTTCAGTCTTCCCCTCCTCGGTCTTCCTCTCCTCGGTCTTCCTCTCCTCCTCATTTTGCTCTTCTTTCGTGGAAAGAATCCATGACGAAAACCAAGTTTTTCAAGCTCATATCGGAGATCGACGCTATTATTGCGCAGCTTGCCCAAAAAAGAAGAACGTCTCTCATTTATCAGGAAAACCTTCGGCGGGGTTTGAGAATAACCTTCAGCTTCCAAAGGACCCTGAAGCGCAGCGTTGGAGTGCGGTTGACGGGCAACCGCTAAGAAGTGCGACACAAGCACAGGAAAGCCAATTCTGTATGTTTGCAAATCCTTGATAAACACTCTCATCTATACATGCTTTTCATTATGGCCGTTTCTCCTACAGATTGCACGATTCTCGACTGCCGAATCATTACTGAAGTACGATGAACTGCGAGGTTGTCCTGCAAAACAATTCGATACCGACATCAGGACGACAATCAGAGATCAAGCATTGAAAAAACAACTCTGAGGAAAGCCCTGAGATCGAAACTCTTTAATGCTTTACGAGGTAAGTCGTCTTTACTTGAGATATGTGGAGGAAAAACAAGACCAGTTCCGAGACCACCTAGCGCAACAGAATTTGAAAAGATTCTGGAGATGTCATTTGAAAAACAGATGACCTTGATATGTCTCTCGGCTTCTTCGCCTTGCCCACCAATCTGCATGTTCTCGTACATGAAATGAGGGGAGACATTCATCTCACGCGTAGTCTCGAGAATGATCGGTCGATGCCGTTGTCGGCTCATTAGAGTGCAATTGTCATCTATCTGAACCCCTGCGGAGGTGAGTAACATTCCCACCCGATTTGGAAACAATGCCGGAGCCACAAGTACCATTCGGTAACATCTTCAACCTACTCCGGTACCAGCAATTCAGGGGGCACTGCTACCGAGCAGTCTGTTAAGAAAATTCAGGGAGAGGGAATGGCAAGATCGGCAGAAGAAGCCGAAAGGAAGAGACGCAAAAATAAAGCCGAGCCAAGAGCGAGCGAAGCCGGAGTGCGACACATGGCACAACGGTCCCGGACGGTCTATTTTACCGGTGAAAAGACTATTTGGCAAGATGTCAACACAAGCATCAAGTCAGGAGTTAGGTCTTGAGGATTGGGTGGAGCTTCAGATCCCTGGTTGCTGTTCGTGCCAGGCCGTCTTGATCAGACCATACCAGAGGATAGCCATCCCAAGACAACTTCAACAACAGCGGAGCAACTCTCGTGCGCACCGTCAAGTTTATTGGAGACGCGTTGGAGGTGGATAGATCTCGATACCAGTTGGGCGCGCCAGGTTTCTTTTGTCGAACCACGGGAACAGGCACGGTTGAAGCACGCCTGCAAGCCGAGGGTGACGCGTCTCGCAGCGAATTAACGACCTTGATCCTTATATTGCGCCCTCAGGTCTCCGCAGCACATACTATTGGAAGAGCGCGAGAATGGCTAAGTCCACAGTAATGCGGCATGCGGCACGCATGCGGCACGCATACTTTTCGCCTGCGATTCGCATGCGAAACGCACTGGTCGGGGGGGGTTATGCTGACGACACCGGCAAACGGATGCTTACATAATCGTCTGTCATACTTTGTGGTCCAACCCCCCCCCCCCCTCTTCAGGGGAAGATTGCAGAAAAGGTTCCCGCAAGGTGCCCAAAAAGGTTTTTGCCAGGTTATGAGCATCGAAGACCCAGAAATCTGAGGACGGCTGATGAGAAGCATGAGGAGGGTGAGTGGCTGCGGGTACCAAGGCCATCGCTTTGTCGCCGCTAAATACCAGGAGAGAAACGCGAACGCTGCAAGCTCATGATATGGTGGGTGCTTTACACGAAGCGCTCTGTTTCCCTCTTAAGAAAGGACAGCACAAATGCCCTCTGTTGTGTCTGTACAGAGGGCATTGGCATGGGATATCCATCGAGTATTGCTAGGAGGTAGTTATCGTGGAAGACACAACTTGAAGAGAATCATTCTACAAGGCGCTCGCTATATCTGAGTCCTTCCTGTGTTGTATTCTTCCTACCGCTACTGTACCTTGGCCATATTATTTCCACCGCGGCACACAACAACTCCGCAGGTGCACGAGATAGATTTCCTTGCCTCATTAATCAATCAATTTATTTCACCTACACCCACTACCTCACCGTCTCTCGTCGCCTGTGATACCCTGCGGCATGACCTGGTCGCTGACCCTGGAGTTTGTGCGCGTTGGCGGCTGAATCCTGACCAAGGAAGGAACCTTTCACCACCGAATCTTTCACCACTGAACCTCTCACCACTGAACCTCTCACCACTGAACCTCTCACCACTGAACCTCAACCGATCCTCGTACAACATTAGTTATCAGGTGTCTGTCAAGAGGAAGACTCATACTGAGCGAGTGCACTCTGCAGGAATCAAGGTTTGACACACCTCACTCACTCAACGCAACACCACCAGCAGCGGGCCGTTAACCATGAGCTACCAGGTACCGACTATCAGACCATCATGACTGACGCCCAAAATCCCGACGCCCAAAATTCCGACGCCCAAAATTCCGACGCCCAAGATTCCGATGCCCATCTCGACGCCCGAAACCTCTACGCCCAACTCGCTTCCCTCCCACCTGACCTCGCGGTGCTTTTACTCAGGGCAACTTGCCTCCAGCTCAGGATAACTCAAGTCCGGCTCAAGGAAGCTCACCTCCGGCTCAGGATGGCTCGCCAACGGCTCAATTTGGCTGTCCAACGGGCCAGGATGGCTCGCGTCCGCCGCATGGTGATTTGCGTCCGGCTCTCGCGTATGGCTCAACGTGAAATTGGCTGGGTCCCCTCACGTCGCTGACCACGTCGGGGCGGTGGCCCAAAGATCGTCCCTCCCTCCAGACTGTCAAGTTCTGAACGAGGAGACCAAGAGGAGGGGGTTCCCAGATGACGCAGAAGCTCTGGCACAATTACTTGGACGATGAAGCACAGGACGAGGTAAGTAGCCCCGACTTTGGCGAGAAACTTAAATCAGCGCTGAAGAAAGTCAAACAGAACAAAAAACCTTGTTGAGTTGAGGCTCAAGTCGAAACTCAAACAAATCTCGGATAAACTGAAAAAAAAAACTCGGATGAACTCAAACAAAAACAAAAAAAATCTCGGATCAGAGGATGGAGCTGGATTGGATTGAACACACATTGGTGGATGGGATGTTGCAGGCGGACAAAAAGTATCATCTCCTGACCGGGGATGATAGCCACAGACTTATGATACAGCGATACACAGTGCAGCGCCGACAGAGATAGCGTCAGGGTCGGAAAGCGATCTTGAGGATGAGCCCGCAACCTGATGGCTCTCACGCTCTGGTTTGTGAGTGCGGTAGGGGGATGCAAGACCTCGACGACTGAAATGCCGTCATGATCCACGCTGTATGTACCAGAGATTTCCGTAGCTTTTCACAATAGATGATTCCAAGGCGAGGCTATGGCCAGAACCATGTTGTCCATTGGCGTAATGCCTCCCCTCCCCACACAAAGACGTTCCGAGTTGCATCTGCTAATCTGGATGAATTGACGTCTCGTTCCTCCTCGAGCTATCACGTAGGAGAGGAGATTCCTCAAATTCCGACGTGGGGAGAAAGATGTCCGAGAGCTCCAGCCATATGGGGTGCAGAGCTAGAAGCACCCGGACAGAACACCAGCCATCAGACCATGTCAATCAGACCAATTCGGGACATTTGACGGCGAAAAAGAACTCGGGAAATGTTGGTAAATTACCATACATCAGTAAAACCCGGCATCGTCGCCTTGGCCTCCATGTCTCGCGAGCCCCAGCGTAAAATCAAGCGTATAGTCATTCTTGATAACACAAACAAGACGCGATAAGACTTTACTGTGTTAGAAGGGTCGTACTGTTGCCCAGCACTACTAAACCCTCTTCTTGGAACACAGAGAAAGAAGCTCGTAAGCAGCGTAAGCAGAGTAAACAGTTGTAACCATTGTAGTTGTGTGCCAAATTGACTGCCTGAAGCCTGAAGGCCGCAGTCACCCACCCGCCCCGACCATGGTCTCAGGTCAAGATCTCTTGTCCACAAGCTTAACGCATTCGTATTCTCTCTCTTTTCCAGGTTGTTTGCATATAACATAGTAAAATCTCCTCCTCCTCCTCCTCCTCCTTCGCTCATCCGCGACGTCCTTTTGCGAATGCTGTCCCCCTCTTCTCGAGCCACAGCATTGAAAATCTGATCGAGGTGACTTTGAGTCGACCAACCTGATTTTTAATCGTTTTGTTGTTCAAATTTTTTCACGCCGAAAGAGATCGGACGGCGGGTAAATTCTCTCGCAATTATTGATTTGAGGGAGCTGCGCATGTTGAGCTTTCCGCCATAAGACCGCCCGGAAATGTGCTGTCATATAACATTAAAGGGGGAGCCGTTGACGTTCGGCCTCAGCAAGTAGTGTTTCCATGAAGGTAATATCTCTTTCTCTGGCGGCAGCTACTGCGTGAATACCCAAGATTTTCCGTAGACGTGCCTCCGTAGGATTTGTTGGATTGGCACCCAAGACCGGAGGTAGAGAGAACAGACTAAAGCGATCAATCGATCACACAACCGTGTCGACCGCTACCCGTCCGACGACGCCCAAGAGTACAGAAAGAAAACGTACGGGGGGTGAAAGGCGCATGCGAGGGCCGCGAAGACGGTCAACGCTCAATCCGCGCCGAGGTTCTCGAATATGGGGGTCGACAGCACGACCACGGTTCCGCCGGCGACGTACCGAACGAACGTGTTAGAGACCAGGGCCGAGGCCGCGAATTTAGCAAATCGCCGCATAACATACGCGTAGGTCGAGGTGAATAGATACAGCATGCTCAAAGCTGAAGTAGGTGGGACCAGAAAGAGGAGAGACATTGTTCAACAAAGGCCGGCTCATTACTTCACAGAGTAAGCTGGGATAGATACACAGAAGGATAAGTGAATGAATGAATGAACGAAGCAAAGCAACGAACCTGATCATTGGAGACCAATATGACACGAAGCGACGCGACGACCGAGCCATTCCGAAGGCCGATATTGGCAAAAAGGGGCCGCCTCGTGGCTGAGCAGAAGATTGAGGCTATTCAGGGAGGCATACGTTGTCGCGGCGACAAGTGGACTGCGCTTTCGATCACACCCTTGTGTACTTTGGCTCCATGTCTCGATAAAATTGGGACGAGGTCATCTCGTTTAGAAGCAAACGACAGGGTCCAATGGACTTCCGAACGACGGTTCGTCGTAGTCCATCGGCGCCTGCGTGCAAGAGTAGAAGAAGTGCTCTTCTCGTTGCCCGTGGTTGCAGTCACACACAGTGCTCTCGATAGTCCGTGTCGTTTAATGACAGTTCGACTGCGTGTCACAAGGCAGTGGATCTGGCAATCGAGGTTGAAAGCACACGCAAACAAACGCCAGTGGAGTAGGAATGAATCTGCTCCGAAGATGTCTGTTCTCCTGCCGCCAATCATCCCCCGCGTGGAATTTGTTGAAGATGCTTGTGAAAGATTCCCACCACGGGGACACGGCAGTCGCACAGGATGCACATGCGGTGCTTTCAAAGATCTGTGACTGTGGAAAGGAATGAATACACCACGCACCACGCACCAGCGGGTAATTGGCCTTGGGCAATCAGGATATAGGTATTAGCCACGAGAATACCATGTATTATGTGCCAGATAAGACCGCAGTGCTGCGGCACGCATGCTCCTCGCATACTTTTCGCTTGCGTCTCGCATGCGAGTCGCATGCGCCTAGTAAAACCACGCGATTCGCATACGAAACGCATGCATTGCGCATTGCTTCCTCAGGCGTTCCGCATGCGAATCGCACTGGTCGGGGGGAGTGATGCTGACGACACCAGCAAAACATGGATGCTGACATAATCGTCTGCCGAACTCTGTGGGGAAGCCCCCCC